TTTTTTAAGACAGATAGAAACAAAATGACCAGTCATTCCCAGAAATTTTCAACCGGTTCTGAAAATAAAACTGGCCATATCTAGAAATCACCTCAGTTGTCACTTACATGTACGTTAACAGAATAGTGTGTTTTATGGGTTAATTTAATTAAAGAATGCATGTGAATGGACTTCAGTATGCAGGCAATAAAAACACTGTGTGTAATAATGTGGTGTCAGTATTAGCAAGGAGGTTCAAACAACTATGAATTTAAGCATTCACACCTGAGTAGACAAATTCATCTGGTCCACTTCATTCATTACCCAACCTACGGAGCCATCACCGCCACACACCAGAATACGAAAATGATCAAACTTTTGGAACAGCTTAAGTCTGTTGACAAACACAGTAAAACCAATCATATTAAGCTACTATAGTTATTTTCAATAATCTTTTCAATTAACCAAAACAAATGGTCATACAGCTGATAGCCATGTACATAACTGTTTGAAACACTTGCCAGAAGATCGACTACATCAACAACTGAAAGAAGTTCTACAGATACATTTAAAACAGACCCCTCCCTCTATTTCCTCTGTTATGCTCTCTGTAATGATTGTGTCACTTACCCTTTTGAAGGGCCGCCTAATGCCAGATCAAACACTTGAATTGGATTTAATAATTGTTTAAATTTTCTAACAAATTTAACACCCTGGAAAAAAGACCAACAAGAAAGTGATTTGTTACGTGGATTTACTTATAGGAGATCCTAGCAGGGTAGGGTAAGGTTAGGAACTCCCAGGAGTGGGTGGGTGGTGTGCATATCATTATTTTTAAAAGCCCCCCAAAAAATGAAAATATCACTGGTTTGAAAAGTTTAGCTTATGTTGAAACAAATTCATCTAGGTTGAAATAATTCTGACCTAAAGAACAAATTGGCCTACAAGCTTGCAACAACAAGAAATTCAAAAACAGATCCTTCGATGTTGCAAATTTTCTGCTGGAGCAGACTCCTCTAGGATGATGGGGTTCGCCTCACATTTTCAACATCCCTGCTCAAGTTCTGGCTAAAGGCCTGATGACCTGCATCAAAGGCTGGTCATGTACAAGAGGAAAATCAACACAAAGATGTAAAAAATATATTAACACTTGATAACTTCATAAAAACTTCAACAAGTGAAGTGGAATATGAATACAGTAAAGTAATAACCAACCTGATTTCTGCCACTTTTAGAATTGACAAAGACAAGCATAGGAAGACATCCTTGAGGTCTGATGGACTAGAAGAACAAAAAAATTAAAACAATTTCTTCTGTTTTTTCAATGCATGTACATAACTATACTATGTCACCCTCAGATTGTCAATGTTTTATGCTCATGAGATAGAAAACTATCTTTCTGCTTTAATACTTACATTCCAAACAAGAGAACCAGAGGAGCTTAGAACAGAAACAGGAGGCAGGGTGAAGAGCGCATTTTCACCAAAAGAACAATTCAGTGACTGAGATCTACATGTCTGGTGAGTCTGTGAATCAAAGCAAAAATTCTACATAAGTGCATAGAAATAAACAGTAATGTTATTATTTGAATGGCCCATTCTGTCACAGTATTCTGACCACCATTTTGTTAAGCTTCCCTAACAGATCGTCAGTACCTATGTATTCTCCTGGGTGGAGTGAAGCTCTTGTCCTTAAACCTTTCACCACCACTGGCCAGGCTACTGGCGAGGCTACTGGCCATAAAGCAAAACTCCAAGGCCATATAAACCCAATAGCTAACCCAAACAAAATGATGCTTTTAGACAATGTTCTTAAACAATCTTTACATAAAGTGGTAAGAGTTGCCCACCACTTTTAATTGTTTAAATTGTGATTGTTTTGAATGAGAATTAAACCACGTCCACAAAGCAGGATCTTGGTAGCTCTTAGGAGTTCTTTTCAAAAATTTCCAGCAGGCATCCCCGTCCTTTTTATATTGGAGTCTCCCTGAGCTAGTAGCATGCAGTGGTGAAAAGGTTCAACATTTTTCTATTTAAAATTACACATCCACCAAATTGACATACCATTAAATTACACCAAAGACATCTGAATCCCTGAAGCCGCCTTTTACTTCCACATATTTCATCGCATACTCCGCATTTCGCTGATGGAGGGAGATTTCCTTCAAGCCACTGATGTGGCACTGACAGCTAGAAATGAATGAATAGATAAATACTGGTCTGGGCAAAATCAGGCCATCTGATTTGCTCTTTCATGAAAGAGAACAGTCATCACTTTCCGTAAAAAGTCATGGTCTTAACTGAGGGGATAGCATTATCTTTGTTGATGTCTTCACGCTACAAATTTCAAATTTCAAAGTTTTAATATCCAAACAATCTAAAAGCAGGTACTTAACTTGTAAGATGAAAGAACACAAAAACATGTTAGTGCCAAGTTTTAAGAGAGATGATGTTCAAAAACTGCTTCAAATGATACACATGTTCAAAAGTGTCAATAATTTACGCGCAAAGGGCAAAATAACGTCTCTCTTTGCATTACATATGACACAGACAATAATCAGTAATTAGACATGAAGTAGAACTACATGTATTTATCTATGCACCATATTGTACCATTGCTATACTTAATTTAATTTTCAGTTTTCCTAATTCTACATGTAACTTTGGCTAGTAATACTGAAGTAACATAGACCACTTACAAGTGATGGGGGAGGGGGCAAGAACCTGGGAAATAGCAGGAGGGTAAAGACAATGGGAGAGAAAATGGCAGGGAGGGGGGATTCTAGAAGGGTGGGAAGCAGAATTAAAAGGACAAGAACATGCTGAAGCCAATAAGCAAGGCACAAGGGCAGGACTCAGAAAAAAAAAATTAATTCCAGCTTGCCCTTTCAGACAAGCAGCTCTGAAATTTTGCTTGCCCTGGGCAAGTCTTACTTCACTTTTGGTCGAGGACTTGCCTGGGGCAAGTGAGAATGAAAAATTACGGTACTTGTCCAGCAGGAAAATCTACTTGTCTCAGACGACCATACAGTACTTTTTTCAAGCCCTGGGCAAGGGTAGGGAGATAACAGGTGTAGGAGGTGGGACTTTCAGGCGTCCCACTCTCCTGGTGTCTCCACCAACTCCTAACTGCAAGTCAGAGTAAATGGCTTAAGAAATCTTCAGACATTTAATACATAATTATGCATGATGTTTGTCAAGTGTGCTGTTGTTACTACAACACATGTTCAACTTACAGGGTCTGACTCATCAAATTCACAATGTTCTCTCTTGAGTGATTGTACTGTTGTCCATTTGCAGTTGTTCTTAGCTCGCACAGCACATCTTCTGTGAACTTTAAATCTACAAACTAGAGAAAAATATGATAACAAGAGAATTGTCTCTCACTCATTTGCTCTTAATGTACCATTAAAAAACTCTTGTATCAGTAATTTCTACTTGAAAATGTTCAATAAATGATATTGAATATTCTGGTCAAATTCCTACTTGAGAATGAATTTACATGTATGCAAAGAAAAGATAGATTTTATCTCTCCAGAAAAGGCTTGCATGAAACTCTCTTTGGACTACAGGAGGGAGGTGGAAAGCACCTGTAATGATTTCAGACTTATTTTAGAGATGATTTGTAACTTTTTGTGCCTGACAAGTTTTTGCTGACACAATTTGATATTTCTGTGACAACAGCCTATGTTTTGGGAAACTTTTGAATCAATATTTGGAAATGTTCTTGCCAGGCCATTTTGAAATTTTGAGCAAATCAGTTAAGATAGTAGGTTTTGAATGTCCAATGTTGTTTTTATATGTGCAATAAATGTGACCACAACAATATAGAATACAGCACACCTGTCAACAGTGTTTTCCACCAAATCAAACAAACTCAATATCATTATTCATATGAAAAATACTAAACTACTCATTATTCAAGACATATACCTTCACACGATAATCCCTTTGATGTGCCTGACAATGTTTCTCTGCAAACATTGCAAAATGTTGGTTTTGCATGGGAACATGAGTACATATACCAATTATGGGCCCCAGACAGTCTGTCTAACAGATCTGATTGCTGCAAAAACAAACAAAATGATCCTGTTAACAGTTATACGCATCAGAGTAACACAATTAAATAGGAATGAAAATGAAAAATTAATGACCTATTTATGAAGTAAATAAGGACAAGCCCATTCTTTAACATTGAAAAAATATCATACGGTTAATGTTTCAACCTGATCATTTTCATTTGCTTCACCGATCATTTTCAGAAAAAGTCTCACTAACAAAGTGTCGTTACAGTTGATTCAGACAAAAAGAAGTCTCAAGGATTTACCCAGGGTTGTTAAAAGCAGCTGACTGCCGATGAAACCTAATCATCATCTAGTTCATGATCTCAACTGGCTACTATGCTGAGTTTCTTGTCTGTGATTCTTTGAAAAAAGATCAACCACTCATTTTAGAACAATAAAGCCCTGGCTATACTTCAAACCTTCGTGACAACCTTCTTTCAAAAACACTATAAACAACATGACTGCATCTTTTCGAGAAAATATCAATAAATTGACATGTTCATGTGATGATACCTTCAAAATAACATGATTGAGCTACTTACAGAGCAGGTCCGAGAGCCAACAGACTTCAAACAACTTATCCACTCTTCCATTTCCTTTCTGGAGTCAGCACTTAGATTAATATTTTGAAATGCTGTAATAACCTGTTGGAAAATGAAACAGAAAACAAAATCAGTAATCACATGTAACTATGAATAATTTTATACCTATTAATATTGAAAAACAGATTCATTCAGTTTCTCCCAAGAAATCAATTGACAAATCAAAATAAATCTATGGATGAGGAGGATGAACAACATAATTTTACATTTCAAACATTTTCAATATTTAAAATTAAAAGCAATCTACAAAATTACTGTCTAATAATTATTTCAAGCTGTACTTACAGTAAAACTGGCATGTTTAATACCAGATTCTGCAACACTAAAATCCTGCAGATCTATTTCAGTAAATAAAGTTTCCTAGAAATCAAAAATAAAATTATCAAATGAATCAAGTATGGCCAGATACCCTATTAAATAAATGTTAAATAAATTTTTTTCATTTCATAACAAGCAAGACATTATGAAATATCTTCTTTGGAGAAATATCATCATGCAAGCAAAGCAAGGTGCCCTAGAGTCACACATGCCATAATTACAAAATGCCTATTAAAATAAACATAAAATTTCTACCTCTTACTAACCAAGTTTGAGGTCCATACTGTAAGTCAGGGACTAACTTTTTTTCCCCTTCAACTTATGGCCCACACACAAAGCACCTGGGCCACAAATCGAAGGGGAATAAAAAGGATCTGTAGCTTACACTATGGACTGAGAAGACGAGGTTAGTAACTAAAGATATTTATTATAACTCTACCGTGTGTCTGATGGGTTCAGGAATGATTTCTACTGTATTCATGTGAAATGGTTTCAAATTTTTGACGCACATCAAAGGCAAACCAAGTCAATTTGAAATCATTGTTAAGCACATTTTAATTTAAAATTAAATTTCAAAAAGTTTGTGGGCTGCACAGTAGAATATGGCCCACTAAATTGACCAATCACAGTGAGTGTAGTAACTAAGAGATAAAATAATTTCAAATAGACCAGTAAAAAATAAGTACAAAATAAAAAAATGAATGATAAATAAATAAACCTGTCCTTGACAGATTTGATTGATCCCCTAACCTCACTGGATTTTGCATAATAAAGCTTGTTTCCTTCTCTCAATTTGAAATATCTCCTTTTCCATCTCTGAAAAAAAAAAATTCCCACATGATTACTACCAATAGCTCTTGTGCAAAGAGAACATGAAGTTGAAAATGTTTCGTTAGGATTAAACGAATATTCATCTTATTATGCGCCCACTAACTGTATATGGAACTTTGCAAAATATTTACAAAAAATACAATGTATATAATATTAATAAATTAAAATAATTTAAAAAAAATTATATTAGAAGACATTATTCTACAAAATACAAAGGCTAGCCATTATTTTATTTTAAGGTTACAATGTTTTAAAATTGAACTGGTACATCCATGCAAGCTGACTATTTATTTATTCTGAAAATATGATATTATTTATCAGCGTTACACTTCAGCGTACATTTCAGCGCTACAAGGATTTGGGCAACATAATTTAATACACTATATTCAGTACACATGTATATATGTATATATTCATATTCCATCAAATATTCTTGCTTGCGCACAATTGGTTTACACACGTCACATGATTGAATATTCCCCAGAAAAAACTGCCTTTTCCTTGAGCTACGCTGTTGGAAAACTGTTTGCTTCTCAGAACAGATAATGTCCGCGGACAAATATCCGAGCATATTTCCGCACCAAATGGGGGCTATTGTTTATGTATGTTACCAGACTGAGTATCATTTTACTCAGGACATCTAATTAGTGAAACATCGACTATTTTGAGATTTTATTATTAATATTACTATTGTTAAGTATTTACTATTAATTATTTTTCTCCCTTGTGCTAAGTTTCTTTTTTTTCCCAAAATGAATGCAATTATAAATTCCAGAGCATATAATTTAGTCTTACTGACTATTAATATCTTGCCCTTCTCTACTTCATACTACTCTAACTGTATATTGTTTCAAACCGTCACATTATAACAGGAAGTGGAGGGACATATACATAAAATACAAGGGATTTATTATGACTAGACAGTGCATTTCAGGTCACAGTGACATCAAGAAAATTCACTTGTTGATCAACAAATAAAACTCTTATGGTCATTCCCCAGTATTGCACTGCGCATCTCTACTGCGCATAATTTCACGCGTGATTAGCATGCGCACATTAAAAAATGGCAGCTTTTTCTTTGCGGCTGGACCTCACCATAGAGGTAAATTGTCATTTTCTCGAAAACGAGTACGGTGACCTATCATTTTTTCTGTTATGTTGAATTGAGTCATAAATTTCTCTATGTAAAATAAATATGGGCCAATTCTCAGTGTTGACCGAGAAACAATCGTCGGAAACGTGATTTTAGCAAGCAATCATGACTATAATCATGGTGTTATTGTAAGGAATTTATATGGTATAAACAAGGTGCTGCTGTTCCGAAACGAACATGGGGACCCCTCATTTTTATTTCCAAATTTAAGTTCCTACAATATAAGCAGTCAATAAGCAAAGTTTGACAAAAATATTAGTGCTGGTTCTATTTCAGTGGAATGACCTTAAACTGGCACCTTTCCAGTTGCTAATTAAATAAATGTAATTTTTCCTGAATTTCTCCAAAATGTTTTTAGTGAAGCCCACAATGAAAAAATAGAGTAGAAATGTGAAAAAAGACTAATCAATAACCCACTGCCGTGCCAAGAGTCCTTACATCAAGGAGACAAACTTTCCTGGTAGTTTTAAAGAAGCTATGCCACAGCTTACACATCTTGAAAATTTTAGCCTAAATTCTTCAAGTTCGTCGTTTGTAATCCTTGCCAATCTTCTCCATCCTGAACCATCCTTGTTCCTTTATGATTATTATTGTCCCTTTAGTGTTCTTCCATTTTAAAGCAAACTACTAGTTTCAGGTTTCCTTCAATTTAAAGGTAATTCTGTATATGCAGCCAAATTAACTTAACATAGTGTGACTGATCTCCTTTGAAGGAGCTCAGTCACGGTTTGTGCATATTGAAAAGTTTAGCCTCATTTTTTCAAATTTGTTGTTTGTAATCCATGTTAATCTTCTCCATCCTTAGCCATCCTTGTTGTTCCTTTATGGTTTATCATTATCTCATTGGTGTTTTTCTATCTTGTTAAACTGTTATTTTCAGGTTTCCTACCATTTAAAGGTAATTTTGTATGTGGCCAAAATAACTCAAAATACCGTGACTGA